CAGACCTAATCGTAGAGTTTGAGACTGCAAGGCGCAAGAAACGGAAGAGAAGATGAAGTAAAATCAGCTTAAGGGGGGCTCAAAGGCCAACATGTATCCCCGCACTACATCCCCTTTAAGTTGAAGCTACTGCTGCATCAAGCGTCTCTTCGGGTTACGCGCCGTCTTCGAAGTGCGTTTGCCGTGGCGACAGCAGTACCCAAGTTGAAGCTGAACGCGACTAATCGCCAGCATCATCGTTCGCGACATCACCACCAACGTCATCTCCACACAACCCTTCGATCGTGACCTCGAAGATGCGTTGCTGGAGCACGGTGAGCAGCGACGACGCAGAGGCATCGTGAGGCGTAGCCGAAGAGGAACCAAAGGAGACGTAGACGAGCGAGGAGGCACAAGACTTGAGCCAGGAGCTTCGGCAGCCGCGTCTCTTTGGGATGGAGCAACAGGATCCCGTACAGGCGACGAGGGAGCAACAGGAGCCCGTACAGGTGACGGTGGAGCTACAGCACCAGCAGGAACATCGACCATGGCAGCCGGAACAGCTGGGTCAGCAGCAGGAGCAGGCGACGTCGGCGAGCGAGGCGAGGGAGCGGCGGAAGGCGAGCTAGTAGCAGCAGCAGCATACGCAGGAGGCACAGTCATTCCCCAGGTCGGAACTATCCAAGCCCGAAGTAAACAGGCCCCCACAAGGCAGGCGTGGGTAAACGCGGGGTCGTACTAATCCGACGGGGAGCGGCACCTCTGGCCTACAGCTCAATTTCGGGAATGACAAGACTGAGGGGACGCGCGCGCCAGAGGGATGGCGAGTGTATCAGATATGATAGGTGTAGAGCTGTAGCCAATCAGAGGCAGGCTCAGTTTAGCATTGATTCAGTACGTAATACAGAAAGGCAGATGTAGGGCGGCCGTGGAACCTTCTCGAAAATTCCATCCGCCTGAACGGCGGGGGCGGCACTTCTCGTTTCACGCGCCCTCCCTTAAGCTAGCGTTTCCTGAAATAGTAAGCAACAAAGGCCCAGCTCACTAGGAGTAGTATTTGTCCCTGGAAGGCGATCTATCCATTGCGTCGTTTAGTATAAATTGTACTTGTATTTATCAAAGTCATGCGGTGCACGAAGAAGCTCTGAAATTTGTAAAAACCGTGGGTTTTGTTTTTAAAAACTAATTAAAGCAACCACTCTGCCAATCTACCCTGAAATTGAAGTTAAATCTAGGAAAATCTATTGGAATAGAACGTTCTGCCAATTTGTCAATGGCAGGTGGCTGAAAAATATTAATGCCAATATACTTCGTATGAATATCCCTGACACTTATACTATAAGGGGTATTTTCCATTAATTTTACGTAAACACGACTGAATTATTAAAATCAATGCACCTTTTACATACATAATTCCATCAATAGGTTGCAATCATTTCATTTTAGAAGACAAGTCGCTTTCATGTTGGAAGACAAGTCGCTTGTAGCTCCGTCCACCTTGAGCAAATGATAGCGAGCGACATCTTGCAATCAAGGAAAACGATTTCATCGAAATTACGTTATCCTCTATTTTATCTATCGTTTAGCATAATATATTAAAGTACTAAATTGCAGAGTCATACCAAAGGTACCCCAATGGTCTCCAGTCCAAAAAAGAAATACCAGTTAGGTTTTTCTATAAAAAAACACGCATGTATGATTGGTCAATGTCCATTCTGAGATGGGTACGATTGGTTAAAATGGGTTCGTCTGACGCTTTGTAAGCACACGGATTGAGAGTAATTGACACGAAAATGGATTCAATTGCTCTTAGTGAAATACCACTGGATTAAGCTCCGTTTGCACTTTTTCTAGTATATTTTAAAGTTTAATTCAAATTATTTTTGACGTGAAAGCGAAAACAACTCCACCCCTCCATAACGTGATAGTTCAAATGGGAGATATCGGCAAAATTTGCGGGAAATTTGTTCTTTAAGAAATTGTGCTGACGCTACATAAGTAGAGCTTTCAAACTAGCTTAACCACACTTCTGTTGGAGCTGTACGACCGAAGTTATCGCCGATTTGAAGAACCGGTATTTCTTTGTCGGACCGGAAAAGTACGTTGCAATCATTTCGGCTCTCGATCCACATTGAAGTGATGTGGGAGGTAGTAAAAGCTGATATATTTAGGGACTATAGTTGTCTCAAATATGCTACGTATCGTAGTTACACATCTGTTCCCTTTCGATGACGAAGAGTAGCAATATTGTGACCGAGTTACTATCACACGTTTAACCTCCCGCGCAAGTGCCCCACCTGATGCTTCTCGGAGGCAGATTTACGGGCATGCATTGGCTAAACTCGCCAGGCTTCTCTGTGTCTTACGAATGTTGCACGTGGAATGACTTTGTGAAGACATCGGCAATATTGTCTGCGCATGAAACCTTCTTGACTTCAATCTCATGATTTTTTTGCTTCTCACGGATGCGTTGATGCACGATGTCTATGTGTGTTGCTCTTAAATAAAAGGAAGGGTTTTTCGCTAACCTCAACGCACTAACGTTGTCCACATTAACATCAGCTGTGTCTGGCTGCCTCTTCAGCATTTCCTTGCTCATCATCCTCAAATCTTTAATCTCATGTACTTCCATAATCAGCGCTATGTATTTTGGCTCAGTAGTGTGTAGCGCTACTGTTTTCTCTGCTTTATTATACCAAGACACTTGGGCTGTCGCCGGGTATCGTCACATATCCAGCGATAGAGCTTCGATCGGGTAGCTTGCAAAATTTGCAGCGCTAAATGCTATCATTCTAGAATGCAAACAGCTACCAGCATACTTGGTTTGACTTAGCACTAGACTACAGCTCTTTGTTTGCTTTAAAACCCTCAAAAGCAACTTATGCTCGCCAATGAAATAATCCGGGATTTGCCAAGAATTGCCTGCACTCTCGGGATGCGAAAGTGATGTCAGGCCTTCTCCCGGGCATTCGATACACCAGCAAGCCAATGATTGCTCGAAAGCGCTTGCCTCGCGCTAGCTCAATCTCCTGGACCACTAGCACACAACGCTTCCGAAAGTAGCAGCACGGGTTGCTTGGAATTCACGTCTGAACCCATACCAATTTTGATTTAGTGTACTTCCTTCGGGAGATCTGAATTTCTTTTTGGCTCTGTCTCGTTGGATCTTTCAGCATAAAACGTAGTGAATTGACCAAAGCGGTTTCCTTTTAAGGCGTATTCTAAGCATTTTCTCAAAATCATTTACTGTTGTTTTCGTGGGTGCAAATAGGATTAGATCGGCCACGTATATCGGAATAAAGCAAGGTTTTCCACACACTTAGGGGTCAAACAAACAGGTACATTAATGAGAGCTTATGCAATGACCATCAGCTCGATCCGAAAAGGGACGAGGAGAGGCGGGTCTTTCTTGTTCGTAGCTCTTGTTCTCCAAATGCGAAGTGAGGAATGGAGGCCACGTGTGTGGTTGGCAGCTTTCGGGGAGAACACGTACCGGTACTACACCGGTAATACCGGTCACGGATAATCTCGTGTGGAAAACACAATTCCCTTCCTCCGGTCCGCTCCACTATGGAATACACACCGCTTCGTCAATAAACTCCATCTTTAGAATTGAACATTGTGAAGTTATTGCTGTCTAACCACTCTCTTTGCAAACGATACCACCCTTTTGAAGTTTGCTTTTACCCGTAAAGCGATCGATTTAGTCTACATACCAAATTCGCATTTCCAGGAAGTACGAATTACTCTGGATGCTCCATAAATATACTAATCTGGGTTTGTAGCGCTCGATCGTTCTATCTGTGCGATACTTAACACGCAACACCCACCGCCTTTGTAGCACTTTCATGCCTAGCGTTCCTGGAACAAGCTCCCATGTTTGATTGTGCAGCAATGAGCTGCACTCATCCTTCGATTGTTGCAGGCTCTACAATAACCCTAGCGGATAATACGCTATAGCTTCTGAGTACCATTTCTGCATGACACTCTTCCCAAAAGCTTTACGAGCTTGCTCTTCACTCGATTCACTAGCTGTTGCCATCACGACAAGCCCACTCATACATCTTGGTGGCTTACGCTGACGCCCGCTTCTTGTAATTGTTGAAATAGGCTCAATGTGAGTCCTTATAACATATTTGCAGCTCTCATCACTTACGTTTTTTCTCTCAACTAGACCCTGTTTATCCTGTCTGCTTTCTCACTATTCGTACTTGAACGAGCTGCTGTCCTTTTTTCTTGCTTCAGGTTTCTTTGGTGAGTTTCCTGCTCGTAACGAGCTCGGGACTGATCTACACGATCAAGTTTGCATCCTACACGTTCTGCGCGTTGTTATCCTTTCACACACTTTTCCGAGGATGTATTATCACCTCCATGCACCTCAACCGCACGTCCAATAGCTCCGTTGCTTCAAATACCCCCATCACGAGGGCTCTTACGAAGCACACGACATTTCTGTAAATACTGTTTCTGTCTCAAATCGATCCATTTCTCTTATTATTCACGTTGATCGGAAGTGATATATCCAGGCTAAATCAGCCTTTGTACCGTCATTCCTAAATCTCGGGTTAGTATCTTCCACGGTGCCGGCTTGATTTTCAACATCGAGTTACATATTGTCAATTCCAGTGAAAATTGGATACCGAGGGTGATTGACGGATAGTCTGAAAAATCAACACTTAGATATGATTGGCCAAAACTCACCAGCTGCAACTTAGGTTGAACCACAAGCTGATATTGAGTCGAAGTAGCGTCCGCTGGGGATGCTGGTATCTGCTGCTCAGGTTGACCAACAGGAGATGCAGCTCGGGGTGATGTTCGACGTCGTGTGGAACGTGGAGTCCGCGGCTGTCTAGCTGTACCAGGGGCTGGAGAAGGTCGAGCTTGAGCTGATTCACCAGGTGATCTTGCTGCTCCAAGAAGTGACGCTCGTTGGGCTGCGGATGACACTGGACCCGGGGTTGAGTATGCCCTAGTCGTGGTCGCTGGCAGTGCTTCTCGGTCTGGAGGTGTACGCCGTCGTATTAGACCTGGGTGGAACGGTGTAGTCTCCGTTGGCGTCCGAGTACGCTCAGGATATGGAGATACACGGGCCGAATGTGGCGATACACGTGTTCGACCACCACAGCGTGCACCATCAGCTGATGCAGCACCCGCTGGTGGGGGTCCTCTTGCGCTACCAGGCGAGACGTTAGATCGGAGATCCATTACTGTTTGCTGACACGGGAAACGTTGCCGATGCGCTCTGCTTCTGAGCTTGCAGTGTGTGGAAACCTGTCGCATGTAATGTTTCCGTATGATGTATGGTAGGATGAACGATTTCATAGGCCATTCAGCGCGGGTGATTAATAAATCAGGCAGTCAAGTTTTGAGTAGAAAGCACGATACTGCTATTCATTTTACCATCATCGACAATAGTGTATACCACTTCACTGGACTGACCACCAGAAACGTGGTCCACCCGTATTCATGAGCAACACATAGTTGAACAGGTAGACTATTGCTTCATGATCATCAATACGTCCACCACGGTAGTCATTCGCACGGCTCTCCTGCTGTGTTTCTTTCTTTCTTTCTTTTACAAGCCAAGGCTTGGTACCTCTTGACTTGCTCAATGGAAGGCAACATCGGGAAATTACGCTCGACAAAAACTACTGTGTGGCTGTAAACAGGCTTTATTGTCTCACAATCAAGCTGCTTATAGCCCTTGCGATCTCGACGACACACAACAAAGACCATCTTCGTCGCGCGTCGCTCCAATGTCTTGATCATATCTCCCTCAAGATAAACATAAGCGAAGCCGCCGAGCACTTAAAGGTGCTTCAATGTTGCCCTGAAGCCAAACCACATATCATCACGTGATCGTCTTTTATTTGCTCTCACATGCAGAAGCGCTAACACAACACGCGCCAGTTACTGCTGCAGCCCACATTTGCACTGGCACACATCTTACTCGCTCTGCTATTATCCTAATCATTCGTTCTGCTACACCATTGTGCTCCGGGGTTTTCTTTACTGTCAACGTGCACTCTATTCCAACGTTTTTTTTTCCACAATCTTCTTTGATCTTCACATATTCTTTCGCTCTATCAGGATTAAGATACTTCATCCTTGCACCTTTCTATCGCTCGATATTTAAGCCATACGCTTCGAGCACTCAATAGATCTTTGTTTTCGATCACGCATAACAAACACTTTTCAAAGCGACTGGCTTCATCAACGAATGATACACAGGAACAGCGACAGCGAAAGTATTATTGCGTTTGATACGGTCCCTAGATGTCTGTGTATACCTTCTCTCCAATCTCCCACTTCCTCTGCTTTTCACTAACTCAATTATGAATGACTTACTCGTTACCTTGCTCTCGACAGATGCCTCACACTCAATGCGAACAAGAGTTTTGACACTTGTCGCTCCCGGCTACGTTATGCCTGCACGCATGAACGCGTCAAAACGGTACCGACCTGGGCGACCAAGCCTTTCGTGCAAAATGCGCATTTCAGCCTTCTCATCTACACTAGCAGCAGCGCAAATTGCAGCTGGCCACTAAATATGTATACCTCCCAACGGCTTTGTTTACAGCTTGCTCTCTGGAGTTAAATTGACTCGAGCAGCACCTTAGTCCTCAACAATTACCGTAGCAAACATAGGGTGGTTGAAGTGAACAGCTACATAGTCTGTTCTGCGCATTGCAACTTGCATGGGCACTGAAAACAAGTTGAACTGGATTGATGAAACATATTTCACATTCCGGAGCCACATATGTCTTGTGCCTTGATCTGTCTTCAAGGTCACTCTCTTATTCCCAACAACCATGGTATGTAACCCGCGCTAACCTCCAGCCTCTACGGCTGCCGCGATTGGACAGTAATTTACAAGTGACTCCCTCGGGTAATTCATGTGCCGTGTGGATGTTGAATTCAAGATCTACTCGTCACAATCTGTCTTCATTCCATAGCATCTGAAATCAATCGCCATTAGCTCTGAGCTAGATCCAGATGTACTCCTCATTATCCTTAGACATCATGACTCTATCATCATCGTTACTCTTTCTGTACTTCGATGTATCTCCACGTGCACGTCGACCGTCATAGCACTTTCTCCATCACGCTCACAGTCCCCATCTCGCTGACTGTCTCCACCTCGCTTTCGAGCTGGATCTTGATCGCCATCATGGTAATCCTTTTTCGATCTGCATGGCAATGGGTGTCTCGACCCATGATTCAACTTATCTTGATATATGCAGCCGCTTCGGATATAGTGGCCAGGCATGTGGCAATGACAACATTTCCCATCGTAAGCGTCTTGTGCGGAGCCATCGCCCCGTGCACCTTCACGTCTTGCACCTTTGAAACCAATGTGGACTAACCATGAGACTCTGAGCCATGGGCTAACGGCTCACGTCTTTCTGCCTCCAACTTGTCAAATTTTAAGATTTGTGCTCTCTGTTAAAGAGCACCAAATAAGGAAGCAAAATGATCTCAAAAGTATCTTTTAGTACATGTACCATCACAATGACGTACGGATTTAAATTGTTGACTGTAATGGGCCCAACTCCAATTACATAAGTAGCTAGATATTTCTTTAGTTATTACATAAATAGGTAAAGTGGCACACGGGTAGCGTGTGCCACGGTGTCGTCATGTGATTGGTTGATAGTGAGGAGCCAGACTCACTTATTGACCAATCAGGTATAGACATGTGGTTGAGTGGTTCACAGGAGGCCAGGGTAGCCGCCCTGGTCCTAAATAAATCAGAGTTGAATTATATAAGAACCTAAGACCTGGTTTTACGATTGCGAGCTTCCTCCACACTATAGTGTAAGCTAGTGACGGTATCTCTTACCCCGTTACACCTGGTAGCACTTTGTAGTCCTTCCAACGACCAAATCTGCGATGAGCCAAGTCCAAATTTTTAAGGTGACCCTGGAGCATGCTGCATTCCCCCATCTCACTCGCGTGGAGTGGGACGCGCTTCACCGCCTCGTGGCGGTGTCCGGAGATGCCGCTGTCGCATCGCTGCTGAGCTCAGCGACGCCCGACCAGCAACGTCTTGCAGCACAAGAGCTCATGGAACGCGAGCTCGCTGATGCGAATCGGTGGGTGTCAACTCCCTCGCGTCCATCTCAGAATGACGTCGTTGGGATGAGTGCCGCACGCCAGCTCCCGTCGTCGCTCACACCGATGCGGAACACTCCTCGGCCGCTCATTCAAAAAACGACCAGGACCAGTAGGTGCGGCGCGCCCTACTGGCTTTAACGAAGGACCGGGCCCTCCGGTGGCAGCCCAACCTTCGTGCCCTCCCGTGCTCCAAGCACACAGCAATGCCACCACTACACCGGGCGACCCGAGACTAATCATCGTCAGCCTCCACGTCGCCGGTGCCCGGCGACTACTGCGCGCGCTCCTTGACTCAGGAGCGACCAACCACTGCTTTCGCGCGTCGTGTTTGTCGGTACTACCCAAGAACGTCCGCGTCGGGAATGGTCCGGGTGAGATTCAAGTCAAACTCGCAGATGGTAATGCTCGCCGCATTGCGCGGCGTGACGTGTCCTTGTCGTACACGTTTGACAGCTTCCGTAGCAAGGACGACTTCTTGGTGATCGAGATGAACTAGGCGTTTGACTGCATCCTGGGTATTCCTTGGCTTGCGCGATATCAGCCAGAGATTGACTGGCTGGCCTAATCGGTCAAGCGTCGACGTGAATATGACGTGAGCGAGGTGCTCACACACCGCTTGGTGGCGCCAAGAGACTGGCCCCACGTCATAGTCGTGAGCAAAACACCAACGACGCAGGAAGTGCACAGAGCGAGCGATGGCTCTCTCTGCATGGCTTGTGCTACGTTGTTGAACGAAGAGCCCTCGTGGTGTCGCGACGTAGATGATGAAGTGGCCGAGCAGAGGCTCCCACAACACGAGATGGTGGTCGAGCAGGGATTCCCACAATACGAGACAGTGGTCGAGCAGCGGCTCCCACAACATGAGACGGTGGTCGAACAGGGGCTCTCACACAGCGAGTCGGCGGTAAAACAGATGTTCCCGCCGAACGATTCGGCGGTCGAGCAGATTGAACTCCCGTCAAGCGATGCCGCGGTTGAGCAGGGGCTCCCGCGTGTTCCCGTCCCGGTTGAGTACGGTCTCCCGCGCCTAGAGGAGGGTCATGCATCGTCAAGTAGCAGTGAGTTAGACTCGAGTGTGAGCTCGAGGAAGCCGAAGAAGATTTTGAAGGGACGACGTCTGAAACCTCGTCGAGACTCCACGACCAGCGATAGCCCACCCACGGAATCGGTTAGCGCGCTCGAGTACGTGCAAGGAGGCCCGAATCGGTCGTGCACTATCGCAGTCGCGAGTCCGCCGCGCGAAAGCGGCGGCGATCACACTCTTTCCAGGCTTGTCCTGGAAGAACTTTCTTCGGGACCTCAAGGCTGAAGACGTCGATCAAGTGTGCTCGGTCACCGAGGCAGCCTCGGTGGATGAGTCAGCAAATGCGGTCGCAACGGACAGGGAACGTTCACGTCCGCTAGGTGCTGAAACTAAGTCAGCTCGAGAGGAACGATTCCAAACGCAGTCCTGGGAGGCCTTGCGGGAGTCAGAGAATCCCGTCTACGACACCGCCTGCGAGCACGCCGACGTCCTCCCGGATAAGATCCCCGCCGAGCTACCGGCGGATCGTGGGGCTCAGCACGAGATCGACCTCGCGCCAGGTACGAAGTACGGCGTCACCAGACAATGGCCACTTCCCCGTGATCAAGTGAAAGCGATCGATAGCTTCTTCAAGGGCCGCCGAAAGGCGGGTCACGTGCGCGAGAGTACCTCTCCCTATTCCAGTCCAACGTTCTGTGTGAAGAAAGCTACAGGGGGATGGCGCATTGTTCACGCATTCAACAAATTGAGTGGTGCCACCATCCCCGCAGAGACCCCGATTTCTCGGAAGGATATAGTACTGGACTCCATGGCTGGTAGCGTCATCTACAGCGCCATCGCCCTGACCGATGAATTCTATCAGATCCTGATGAGAGCATGTGATGTGCCTCTCACCGCCATAAGTACACCGAGCGGGATGCTCTGGGAGTGGCTAGTGATGCCACAGGGGCTGAAGAACGCGCCTGCCACGTTCAATCGCATGGTCTCCCATGTGCTTCGTCGGCTCCGAGACTTCGCGCCCGGTTACTTCGACGACATCTTCGTGCACAGCCGCGCTGAGGGCAACCTCCGTGCCGTGGAAGTACACCTGAAATACCTGAGGCAAGTCTTCCAGGTGATGCGAGAGAACAAGCTCTACGCAAACCTGAAGAAATGTGTCTTCTGCACCGGAGATTCCGGTGTTGGGATGCTACGTGAGCAAGAATGGTGTGCGCGCAGATCCCGAGAAGGTATCGTTTACATGTGCTTGGCCAACGCCGACAAGCCCCACTAAGTTGCGCCAGTGGCTTGGCATGGCCAATTACTTGCACAAGTACACGAAGAATTACGCTGGGTTGATCCATCCGCTGCCCTCGCTGCTGAAGAAGGACGTGATCTGGGAGTGGCAATCGGACCACCAAGCTGCATTCGACGCGTTGAAGAAGAGCTTGGCGTCTACGCCGATCCTGAAGCTTGCTGAAGACTCAAAGCCATTTCACGTCGTCTGCGACGCAAGCGATTTTGCCATCGGCTGTGCGCTGATGCAGTTTGATTATGACGAACATGAACGCGTTATCAGCTATCAGTCGCGACAGCTGAAGCCAGTCGAGAAGAAATACCCAGTCCACGACAAGGAGCTCCTGGCAATGCCGTACGCTCTGACCAAATTCAGGGTGTACTTGCTCGGTGGGCAGTCGTTTGCGGTTAACACTGATCACGCATCGCTGCGGAGAGCGATGAAGACCTCGCCCCGAACGTACAGGGCGTACGTCGTATCATCGGAAAGGCCCACCACCGATAATTGACTCGGTGGGTAATGCGCGCTGGATTGTGGAGCGTATCGTTGACCACGAAGATCCCCACAGCTCGACCGCTCAATGTAACGTCCGTAGTCATGCCCCTCGCGCGATCCCGACCGCGCGCCGTTATCTGGTACGTTGGCTCGGTTTTCCCCCAGAGCATGATACGTGGGAGCCCCGCACCAACCTTCTCCGTGACGTTTCGGACGTGGTCCACGAGTATGATACCATGCTGCTTGAGAGGAAGAATTTCGCGGGTCGCCCCGCGGAGACCGTGAACGAGATCGAGAACGGCCCGCACGAGAAGGCGACAGCGATGCCGCGCTCCGACGCGTGCGACGTCGGCATGAGCCGCGGCGAACACTGACACGACTGGTCAGAGCAAGAATGAAAACACGAAACCACCGGCGACATCGAACCGGTGACCAGTGAGTTGTCAACCCGACCCGGCTACGGACTGCGGCAAAAATGACTTTCGAATTATCAAGCGGGTGACACGGGTGGTCCAACAAGTTCCTTGTTTTTGGTGACACCACTCGGTGACAAGCGTGAAGCTCACTTGGGGTGAAACAAAGGGGTTGGCTTCCCGTCGAACAAATGACCATGTCTTCTCGAGATATCCCGGAGTTCGTTTCCCGCCCTGGGTGACAAAAAACCAACACTCGCCGTGTGCGTGAAGTGGAATCGCCCCGGGGGGAAATCAAAACCCTGGCGTCCCAACTGGGAACCTCCCTTCATTTTTCCCCTCCCCCCCGAAGTCGGCACACGCTACCCGTGTGCCGACTTCGTGGCGCAGTGGTCATCATCTGATTGGTTGATAGTGAGGAGCCATACTCACTTATTAACCAATCAGGTATATACATGTGTTTGAGTGGTTCACACGAGGCCAGGGGTAGACGCCCTGGTCCTAAATAAATCAGAGTTGAATTTGACACAAACCTAAGCCTTGGTTTTACGATTGCGAGCTTCCTCCACACTATAGTGTAAGCTAGTGACGGTATCTCTTACCCCGTTACAATGCCCATATTCTCAAGCTTTGTGAAACCTGTTTCAGTTCCTTGATGAACGTTAGCAGGCTCATGCCCTTCTCATACTTCATCCCCATGACTGCACGGAGCTGGTGCACAAAAGACAGCTTAGTGGGTCCTACGAATATCTTCCGAAGCATCGCTAGCACTCCAAACGGCGTGTACCCTTCCTCTACGGTCTTGGAAAGCTCTGGTGAAATATATTTATTAACCCTTTTGCTACCA